CCTCCCTCCCACCCTGCCAGTCCCAGGGGATCCCGAGCTGAGGATCTGGGCTCTGCACCCTCACAGCTGTGGTCCGGGGGCCTGGCCCAAGGATGCAAACAGGCCGTTTGGAGGTTTGAATGTCCGTGCTCAAGGCCTTCCTCTGTAGCCAAGGAGCTAGAGATCACAGCATGCCTACGCAGTGCACTTCCCACACGGTATCTGCTCTGCTGCAACACGCACTGCCTGTTTCTACGGCACTGAAGTACTGGCAGCTGCTTGGTTTTAGTGAGAGATGTTTACAAGGTTTCACCCACAAAATGGTTTTCCTTAAGTGACTCCATTACCAACAGGAAAATAGCTAATCAGATACAGCAAGGATTCAACCGCCCGATTTCCAGCATGGTGGGTCAGAAAAGAGGAAAAAAAAGAAACAAATGAACAAAACCAGGCATCTCAGTTGTGATAAGCAATGCTCTGTTTGCAAAACCACCACAGACATACTTGTCAGACATGCTTTGTAAGCCCCAGGTGAACCGGGACCAAATTTGTGGCACAACTCGAGAAAGCAGCAGGTTCAGACCTTGAAGCAAGGGTGCGGGAACCTGCGGCATACATAAGGTAAAAGACATGGCTTTGGGTATTCATTGAACCCTTCATAAAATCACCAAGTCAGCTCTGTTCCTCCATCTTTGAAAAAGTAAAAAAAAAAGTGAATAGATATCAGCATTGTTTCCAGTGGCGCAAGCTGCAGTGTCCTGCTGAGCAGAGCATCTATGTGGTGGTCTCCACCTTTGTGAGATGAAGCATCCTAGCTCAGATTTCCCAGGAAGAGAGGGTGCAGGTCCTCGGCTATCAGGGCAGCAGTTCGGAAGGCAAATGGAGAAGGCAGAGCTCCCCACTCCCTCAGATTTGTGTGCATGCCAAGGTGCTGGGATATGCAAGCGCCACTGCAAGTATCACTGACTATAGGGAAACGGGACTCCTGGCTCCCTTGTCCCACTTATTATGTCTGGGGCACCACTTTGAACCAACAGCCAACTCTACCAAGAACATAATAATAAAGATGCCCGTAGCTAGAGAGGAGAGAGAGAAAGAAAAAAAGGTTTGGACATTAGCAACGGCACCAGGTGTGCTCTGTGGAGGGAGCTTGGGATCCTGCGATACCTTCTGGGCTCCTGAGAAGGCGTGGTAGAAGCTAGAAACATAGGTCATGATGGCTTTCTCGTCAGGACGGGCAGTTCCAACAATGTCTGTCAAAAAAAACCTCACGTTAAGAGCATAATCAACTGATGGGAGGAAAGCAAAGGAGAGGGAGAACCACAACTGTCCAGGCCGCCTGCTGGGGTATATCCTTGTTACAGAACTCCGCAGGGCTTCCTAGCATTCCCCAGAAGATATGTGCGTCTCAGAAGCCAGGACCACCCTCCTGGTTCCCTTCCAGCATGATAAAATTACTTCCAGGGTCTGGCCAGGCTAATGCAGCCATATGTCAGCATGTCTCGTGTCACAGCACGTCCCCGTCCTGAGAACGTTACTGTGAATCAATTGGGTTGAATCAATCTGAACAGGCAGCAGCCTGATGTGTCTTTTATAGACGTATTATACTGCAATTCCTCCACGCAGTTCTTCAGGAAAGATCCTTTCTCCCTTCCTTTCCATGTCCCCATCGTCCATTTCAACACAATGATGGCTTGAATTTCAAAAGGTCTTTTCATTAGTTTCAGAGGAAACGCGACACCTCCAGAGATGAGAATTAATGGTGTGGAGGAATATACATTAGCTCCACTCTATGAAGGAGGCGAGTGATCAGGAAGGAACAGTGGGAGCTCCTGCAAGGGGCCCTCTTCATCACTACTAGCTTTGCTGAGATCTGAAGCTAGATCCACTTATTTTGGAGGTGGCTTTATTTCCTATAGAATGGAAGGAAGCACTTGAATCTAGTCCAGAAACCTCATGATTTTTTTTTGACATCAGCATGATGAATACAGGGAAAGCAAGATTCATCCCTGGGCATGGGAAATACTACCTAAGAATATGAACATCCTAGTTACCCAAATAAAGGTTCACAGGGTTCAGCTGTCCTATCCCCATCCTTCCCCCTTGTTCCTCTCACTCCCTTATTTAACAAAAGCCTTTAACTGCTTCTCCTGTCCAAACCAAGCCTGAAATACAGCTTCTACCATTGAAACCAGGTGGCTTCAGGCAAACGGCCAAAAACCAGTGAACTATTTCAGGCTGTTGTACTCCAGAGTTACAGTCTTCAAAGTCTACTGCCAAGCTGGTCCTGACAAGGCTCTGAAAAGTAATCCTTGCTGTCCCAATGGCCTCAGGGAAGCAGCCACGGTCAGTAGCAAAAGCACCTCTGAACAACATGGATCTCTGCCTTGGTCTCCAGACCCAGTCAGTGAGAGATCTTCATATCCAGCACTTCTGAGTAGTCAAGAAGCAGCAGTTTGTAATACTAACATCATACCTCCAAAAAGAAGATCACCGGCAATTTCAGAAAGATCCCAGGAAAAATATTCTGGAGCAAAAGGAACACAGTCCTACACCATATATTAACCCAGCAGTAAGCCTGATTCTTGAAAGGGAACACTTCAGTCAGCAGTGGACATAGCTGGCTGTTACTCATCTCTGCCTAGTGTGTCAACCCCATGTTAAGATCTCCACACCAGACTCAGAAGACGGAGGGGCACAGGAGGAAGAGGGAAGCAGAACATCTGATTCATTATTCCACTGTAACTTCTTCCCTACCCTATACATTTAGTACGTGGTGATGAAAGGAGCATTCAGAGGTTACTGATTTCTTGTACAATACAAGTCCACCTAGAAGAAGTGGGAAATGTCTTGAGAAAAAGAAAGTTCAAAGCCACTGGCTTCTACTTTACCTTCTGCATCCAGCATCTTGGGAATATCCAGGTATTTCTCAGCCACATCAAAAGCTGTGTTTAGATTAGTGAGAGGATCATCCTGGGAAAGAAACAGAACCAAAGCATCAGCATCGACTTGTAACAAGGTACACAGCATTTCTCTCAAAACAGAGCTACTGTGCTTGGTTTGGTTCAGGTAACTGTGCTGTCCAGACAAAATTATGTGTGAATCCTCATATAGCAGGATGAAATAATTAGCTTCCTTTTGAAAGTAGAGCCTGGAGACCCATGATATGATAATTAACATATAATCTACACACTCGCAGCAAGAAAGAATAATACATTTTGTCTTGAACCTAGTTTAAAGTAAAATTAGCTTCACATCATACTGATAGTAAACAGTCATATCTCACGTTCACATCTCATGCTTATATTAGGTTTGCAACTTCCATTTAAAGAACTGCAGAGCAGTGTATCTGTTAGAACATCTAAGCAATACTAAAATAGTAACAACATCTGCAATGGGTGCTGTCCTTAGCTGGTGTACAGTTTGTTGAACATCAGTTGAGTGGGAGGAAGAGAAATGTTTTAACAAATCTCTACAAAATAAATATGTATAAAAGTACCCATTTTGTCTGAGTATTGCTTTTCCTCCTAGGGGCTGCACAGGATTTGTCATTTCCTCAGTACATTTCTATTCCTCTATATATAAACCTTCTGCTGTGGCAGGATGCACTTCAGATACAGACATCAATACACAGTAATCAAATCCTAAACAAAGTTAAATGTGACACATCACATCATAAGTCATGTCACAAAGATAACTAGATTTTAAAGAGCCACACAAGAGAATATGAAACGCAGATGTCACTGAAATGAAAGACCTCTGCAAATTGTTTGCAGTATTCAAACATAATGATCAGCAACGAGACATCCACCAACCTGTACGAGACCCTCATACAAGCCTGATTCCTATATTCCTGTATATCCATGATACTTAGTTATTCTGAAGGATCAATCCACTTCACAGATGACAAATGACATTTGCACTGTCAGTTACTACTGTTGAGACAGGTGGCTTCTGCTGGAGGAAGGGCTGTGCATAAACTGCTGGAGTTTAGTCACCATGTTAGCTAAGTGTCTTTCAGGAGAGAGGTGGTACTCTCCATATTGTCATTTGTGCCACTGACACCAAGATCCACCTTAAAGATTAGGAAATAAGCAGTCTAATTATTTCACCTTCTTTCTAGAGTGGCATCCATGTTCTGTCGCTTTTCTATTTGAGATCAGTGTGCCTTTGCTTATTGCCTTGACTTGGAAGATTAAGCTGTGCCTGAGCTCTAATCAACAGGCAGCTTCCTTTGAACCCACCCAGAACGAAAGATGAAGCTAGGCAGGCTTGAGCAGACAGGATATGGGCATGTAGAAATGTTCCTTTATGGCACTGGTCATTACGTAGCCCTTAGATTACAGCCTTCATGAAACTAGGGATCTGAGCTATTCTGAAAAGCAGTTTCCTACAGCATTTCCCTAGGAATTAATGCATGTATTAGGTTGGCATCACATATCAGCATCATATTCCTTTGGGTGAATGTCTCCAGCAGATAGCAATGTTTCACGTACCAAAGTAAATCACACACAGAGGTCATTAAAACAGACACGACCAGTGATCCATATTCAGTCCCCTGGGACAAGTCAATATTGAGTAAGGAAATGTTTCACAAGCATGCTATGACAAAACCAGCAGCTGTCACACATGGTAATAGGCCCCCACCTCAGTGTCAAATAGTATTTTATCCCTACAGAACACACTTTCAATGGTGACTACATCAGATATATCTATATTCACCTCTTAAGAGTTTAGCAGTGGTTTCGGCAAAGGATTTTTACTATCCTCCAGCCACAAGGAACCACTCTATGCCATGGAATTAGAGGCTGGTACCATTTCAACTTTGGCCTGCTTGTCTCCTGTGACTGCTGTGGAGAAATCTCTATGAACCCAAAGTGTAACAGAAAGCCTTATTTGAGGTGATAAGACTAGCTGGTATACAGCATACCTTGTTCACTACGTGTAGACAGGGCCCTAGCTCCGTTTAGGAAGGAAAAGGTAACAATCTTTCACTCAAGTGCAGGAGCATCTAGAAATGCCAAGTGGCAGCTCCCCTGCCAGTTTTCCCCTAGCCCATATGCCACTTTCTACTTCTGTAGAAATATCACCCACCACTGTGTACCGAATTTCATCCTGTGCTGACCATGACCACCACGGCATTGCTAATGCCCTGTCAGAGCGCTTAGTATTAACACAGACCCTTCCTTAGCACTGACTCATCTGAACGAGCTGTCTGAAGATCTGTCAGCCTCTCCTGGACGAAAGGGAGGAGTAAACTCGCTGCAGAGAGCTTTCCTATCAGTTCGCAAGTAACAACGCAAGGAGCAATGTTGCCAAAGGTTAAAAAGAAATTTTAAGCTGGAAGTTGGGAGAGGTTTCCTGATGGGAAAACTTACTAAGCTTGGGCACTCCCAAAGGAAGGGCTGGAAGTCTTAACATTCGGGAAAACTGGAGATGCAGCTAGATGAAGCCAGCAGACTTTTACTTCATATGTAAGAAAGACGAGTGATGACACAGTCTCTTGGGGAATGAAGCTAAAGATAGTGCTACTGAAAGCAAGCAAGACCCTGTTCCCTGTGGGAAAAGCTTCACCCTTCATGGACAGTGGAGCTGCTCATCACAAAGGAGATGCTTCTTTGTGCAAGAGATAGGGTTTCCCTGGGGGTTTGTCCAAGACTACAACAGAGTCTTCAGCCCTACAAAATTCCTCCAAACTCCACCGCTTTCAATTCCATTGCATTGTACACCAGCTGGTGGTCATTTCAAATCACCTGTTTCAGTTGAATTCCATGAAAAGGGATAAAATAATAAAAGTCTGGCCTGGCAGCTCCAAGCCTCACAGTGTAGCACTGCAGCACCACAGCTGCAGGCACACTTTAGGGACCCAAAGGCAGCAGAGCAAAACAAAAGCCAAGTCACCTGTCCCCCCAATTCCTTTCACAGCTGAAACACACACCCCAGAAGAGCACTGGCCCAGATGAGGTTGTACAGAGGTGCTTGCATGAAGGTTCCCACTCTGCTTGCATGAATATAGGAATGGCAGAGACATGAAGAGGAGCACTAACTTGCCAGGCTCTAGCTGGACCAGCCATGAGGAAAGCTATCGTTTTACCATGGTGGAACTACATTGTTTTAACTGTGGCAGACAGCAAACCTGCCCTAAACAGATGCCCACCTGGCACATTCTCTGCTTTTGCTGACTGAAGACTACTGCGGCTCCTCCTCTTTCACCACAACCCTAACCTACAGGAGAAGTCTTCTCTCCTCCTCCAGCTATTTCCAAGTCTTCGCAGCACACAAGGTTGCCATGACAATTATTGCAGTGTGACATAAATAAAAACTTCTATTAACTAGCAATCAGGAAAGGAGATGGAGGGGGAGGAAAATCTAGACAGAGCAAGCACTTACTACATCTGCCAGAGTTGAAGACACTAGGAAAGAAACCCACTTGGTACAACTCATTTTTTCAGGAATATCTGTAATAAATGCATCCAACATGGCAGTACACAGACCACGTTTCTGGATGAATTGCAGTATACAAGGGGGTGTCTGAGCCATCAGTCAATCATTGTAGTTGATAAAAAGATCTTAGATGTGGCTCACAGTTGAGCTACAGTTGGAGGTACAAGGAGGAAGGGAAACCCCATCTTCTGCATATCCCTCACATGGAGACTATGAGCTGAATCTTGAAATCTTATCTACAGTGAGCTGAACAATAGCAGATAGACCTGAACTGAGTAGAAATCAACCAACCAAATAAGTAGCTGTGGTGTCAGGGAATCACTGACAACAAGCTGGGTGGACTTGCACCTTTTATTTTGGTGTCTGCACTATACAAGCAACTTCAGCTAAGCAGTGTATGTAGGCAGAAAAGAATTGTGCTTGCTCCACTAATATAGGTACGCTAGGAAAAATAGCTAGCAACACGAACTTCGGACTAAACTGTGCTGACAAAAGAAGTTGCTAACTTTTGGGAAGAAGACATGCAGCTACGCTGGCTGCCTTGCACTAGCATACAATGCCAGTACAGGGTCTGTAGCATAGACACAGACTCTGTAACAGAGCAGAAAACACTGAAACTGCACAAGAACGCTGCCCAAACAGGAGGTACAATGCAGACGTCTTGGCAGCTTGGATTGATGTTTACCTCTCTATCTTACACATTTGTGTATGTGTGTGAGCGTACACAGAAACACACACAACTGAGATGCCATTAATCACTCCTTAGAGCTGGAAGAGACCTGGAGGTGGACCTCTAATCTACTATCCACTGTGATGGCTGCCTCTCAGCAGCCTTTCTTATGTCTTTCTCTGCAAGATAAGTGCCCTACAGAGCCAGGGATCATTCAAAATATTTGGGTTGGTCGGTTGGTTTGTTTTCTTGTTTTTGAGGGAAGTGAGAGAGGGGAAGTAGGCTCCAAGGAGAAGGGCCATAATCAGTGGAATTGAGCAAAAGAGAAGAGTAAGAAGTGATAAAGGAGGAAACAAATGACAGAAATAGTTCAGGCAAATACTGTCTTTAGGAAGGTTCCATGTTTATACAAACCACAAAAGAGTTTCAAAGATCTAGCACAAAAAAGGCAACTTCCCTTCAGCACACATGAATGGCCAGAGCTAAAGGCTAGGCTCTGAGCTAAGTTTTCCCCAGCTATTTGTTCAAGATTTCAGCTGTGGTAGAACTCTCAAACATGCATTTAATCTCATGCCTTTAAAGTAATCGAGGCAGAACAACAATAAAAATAATACGGAAAGAGTCAGAAGACTGCAGGAGGGCACAGGGAACATGGTGAAGGATGGGATCAAAGGCAAATGGAGAACAAAAGATGCTGGTTCCCTCTAACCTTACTCTAAGGAGGACAAATCCGTTCCTATCTACATTGATTTTGGCCAGGAGGATCACCCTCTTTTTCACCTTAAAAAGCCTGCAGGCAATATGACCAAATAACAAACTCTTCCTCACTCTTGTTTGGCTTAGGGCTTTGTTGGAATGAGCTGTAGCATTTACCCAGCTGGGTTTGTCAGACATGTTGTTTAGCTGCTTTTATTTTGCCAAGATCAGGAACTGAAAATGTAGCTCTAATAATTCCTTTTTTTATTGCTACTGTTTATGTAAACAAGTACAGTCTCTCCCCACTGTTTATTCATCATATGCTGCCTCCAGACACTAAAACTGATCAGATAATATAATTGACTGCTCTGCAAGACAGTAAAGATCTAAAGGGTTACTGAAAAGCAGATCAAGCATTGTACAATTCATTGCCTCAAGGATGCAGCTAATTTGATTAACTCATTTACATATTGTCCATTTGCAGAGTGATCCAAGAGCCCAGGTCTATTAGTGATGGGCTTCTACGTTTATTTCCCTAGCTAACACCAGGCATGTGTGCACTTTATAACGCCCAGCCTATGAGGTCAGATGGTCAAACTTTTTGTGTATTAGCCCCAGTCAAGACACATGAATTACACTCCTGGTGATGTTTCACTCTATATGCACACAGATATAGTGAAACTGGATCTCAACAGGCTGCAGGAATGGCAGTAGGATGAGAACCCAGTTTGGTCTTCCACCGCCCTGCTGAGTCAACATACTGTCGGCAGCACAAATCACTGAATGCTCATTCTCATCATCCACTCAGCAATCTTGTGTCCAAGACACAAAGCAAGCAAACTTTGGAGCAGCCAGATATCAAGTGGCAATTTTTAAAGTAAAATTGAGTGTCACAGCGAATGCTTTTCTGGCACCCGATATCTACATGCTAGGAGAAGCCCAGCACTGCAGATGGCTCAGGGCAAAGCTGGAAGCACATGACAAGTAAGCGTCCAGTGGGGGCACAGAGACTCAATGAGCTTTTGCACTTGAACACCAAATAACTGGTTTCTATCTAACTCTCCACAGAAATGTCAAGTCTAATTTGACTCACTAGTCAATCACAAGTTCTGTGACATTAGCACAGAACTGGTCTCACATTTGGTGTTCCTGAATTTGCCAGCGTTTGCTCATCAGCTGAGATTGGGGCAATTGTGTCTCATGTACGGCAGTCTGAAAGCAGGGAAAGTCAAGCAGGAAGCTCATTAAGTTCATGCTTCACTAAGAAGACTGAATGTAATGAGTCATCCCTCGTTCCTTCCCCGCCCCCCTCAATCCGGCAACTGCCAGCTTAGGCTGAAGTTCTCCAATTATGTTTATCAAGCTAATTCTTCTCCCTCTTTATTTCCAAGGAGCCAAGCAAATAGAGTCGTACCTTTCGTAGCTTCCCATAGTCGATGAGCTCTGGACGGTGTCTATGAATTAAAGCGCAGAAACCAAGGCCATCCTTCCAACTACGAGAGAGACAGAAGAGAGCACAATGAACAGCGCTCAGCCAGGGAGAGACACAGTGACGGGCGTGAGTATGAGGGAAGGCACCAAGACAGCAGGGCAACTAATTCTGATTTAGTTTCAAGCTACTAGTGCTTCTTTAAATGCTGGGAAGGAGGCATGTCTTGTAACCTCATGAGACTGCAATAAATACTTTCAATCCCTACAAAAATCCACTGTGATTAGGACTTGCCCTTTGCATTGCTACCTCCTTTTTGCCAGTTCTCTGCTGAACTCTGTGTATGTCCTGTGGAGCATGCAAGGACAGATGTAGAGCTCAGGGTTGAAAAAAGGTGTAGACAGAAGTCCTAAAGGAGGAATAACGGCATGCCTTAGGGAAAAGGCAGATGCCCATAGCTAGCTCCACTATAGTGCTGGTTAGTATGGATGGCACTTAAGCTCTCAAAAAAGTGCCTTACATTTATATGGTTCATACAGCTATCCACGACATGCTGGAAAAAGCACTAATATGCCGAATTTTCACTGGAACACCTGCCAATTTGGAAATATTAAGAGCAGAGCAAGAAAATCCCCTTCCTAACTCTATCATACTACAAAGTTTCTGGTGCAACCTTTATTTCATGGTTCCTAAAATGTTCTAAGTTTTCACAGAGCAAAAGCTGTCTTGCTTAGCCCATGGCACATATGCTGCACTCAGTGGACTTAATGCTCTGAAGAACTTTATGGAAGCAGCATTTGTAACCAGAATGAGGAATTGCGACGCAGGTACTTGGATCCTCTTATAATCTCTGCCTTTAACTTCCTAGGTCTCTCTCTGCACTACACTATTACTGTGTAACATGCATCTGCATTGCCTTGTGAGGTCTGTCAGGAATATTGTTGAATATACCAAGATATATATGAAAATAACATATGAATTATGAAAATAATAAAGCTAAGTTCTTGCCTGTAACTCACCTGATATGGAAGTTCTGGATGTTTACATTTTTGTAGGGGGCTGTCTTCCTCTGACACCATAACAAAAGTCCTTCTTTAGCAGATGTCTCTAGAGAAAGAAAGCAAGCATATCAATGAACTCATTTTCTTAGAAAGCAGGAGTCTGGAGCATAGGCTAGAAAAACAAGACCAACACCTTTTTGGTAGAGAAAGCACTGAATTGAGCTTTATTTAATTTCACTTGTCGGAAAATTCCTTGTTTGGAAGAGTCTACTGGGATAGTTTTGTTACTATTATTTTCTTAATGAGGTTCTGTAATAAGGAGATAGCTTTTTGGGATTAGAGAGGAGAGTTTTGTAGGACTTGTAAGAGACAGGTCCATTTTCAGTGCTAGTCCCTGAATCAGCCTGCAAGAAATGCAATAGATTCCAACACTAAAGTTGGTTTTCAGGCTTAGCCATCCTTTTGAGCTGCTCTTAAAATCTCTTGCAAAAAACTCTTCTCAGCGTATCTGAACCTGGCCAGAAATGTCAGTGAGGTGACAGGGCAGCTTCGGTAGCTCCCTAGGATTTTCCAGTGACTCACCTAAGAGCACATTCTGGGCCTTTTAAGTGGCAAAGCCATTTAGTTGACCCAGTTGTTCATTGTTGAAAAGTGGCTGGAAAGAGCTAAGATTTACCTTCAACTGAGATATCCTGAATGGCAAAACGAAGGATGATGGTCCAGATCATTCCAAGAGTCATTTTAACATTGCCATCCACGATTTCTATGGGGAAAAAAAAAAGGTAGAAAGAGAAGTAGAAGGCATCAAGTTGCAAGAGCAAATCCTAGTAAAACAGGAGCATTGGTGGGCATTCCTTTTTGCAGATGGGAGAACTGGAATTCCAGGTGAAAACTGCCTCACCTCCCTATATGCTCTGCTGGTACAACATAGTCTTGCCCAGTAGCACCCAGTAATCAGACTGGTTCTCTTGCAGTATAATACTGAGCATAACACAGACACCGATGATCCAAAAGACAAGGAACAAGGACCAATTCCCATCAGCGTAATTCCCCACAGGGGCCTAAATTCACCTTGTTCAGGTTTAATTCCTATCACTTAGAAGCCATATAAGCCAAACTGAGAAGAAGAAAACCCTTCTTCTCTTACTCTGGTATGTCTACTCTAAGTCACCTATATAACTGCCCCAGTATAATTACACCAGAAGAACCAGTGAGACTTCCCAGAGCAGATGAGCTCTGACAGCTGGTTTTGTCACGTGAACAAGATACCAACAAGAAAACCAAGAAACATCAACATTTTAATTTCAAACAAGCCTAAATGCTTGTTGTTTCAAACAAGCCTAAATACTCCAGACTGCCTGTATAGGACTTCTTTCAGTCATATAATTGCCAAAAGACACAACAGAGCATTCCTCAAAGTAGATGCATCCTGCTTGAAGAGGAAGCAAAGACTCATGCTGACCAGCCTGAGCAGACCATAACATAAACTAAGATGCTAAGTAGATTGTACTTCATTGCTCATTGGACTTGCAATATAAATCAGCAAGGGTCAACAACTTGGAGGTTTTAGAAAGCGACTGCTTGCATGTGTGAGGTATGATATGTTTAGGTTGGAGGATCAAGGTTCTGGGGGAGGCACTGGGGGGATGCTGGCCCAGAAAGAGGCTTCCACCATATATAGATTAGTGCCAAACAGTCCAAACATTGAGCAGCTGGGTCTCAAGTGGTGATCCTCAGTATCTACAAAAATTCCACACAGACTATATATACACATTATAAAATTTACAGCCTTCACTTTTTTGGATAGTGGAACTAGCTGAGCTGCCTTCTCCTACTCATTCTCTGGCAGGTTCCTGTATGACTGAAAGATCTTTCATAAACAACTGACAAGTTACAAGAGTATTTTCAGTAAGAAAAGGCTTAGAATTAACCTACTGTTTGGAGGTAGAATAATTTAAGTCCTAACAAGGCTACCAGAAATCATTTTTGTACTACTGTAGACACCTTTGTGTCACTGCTTCCATAAAGCTGCCCAGCAGGAACACACCATGCTCTGGGGGCAAGCAGAAATTTGCAGTACAGGCAACTGCCACCTGTCTGGATCCTGTCACAAAAGTAAAAGGAAAATTTCAAATACTGTTAGGCCACTAAAAAAAGCTTTTCCTCTTATGAAAATAAGTTTCAAAACATGAACCTCAGCGTACTCAAAACCAACAGACAAGTAGCACACACCCCAAACACTGTTTCAGAAACTGTGCCCATCTGGTCCAAATTCCTGAAAAGTTTGTGATTTAGCAATATGTGTAGTACAACTTACAGTGAAAATTAGAAGGACAATCTCTGCTGTGCTTTGACATACATCTGCATTAGAGATTTACAGATTTAAAAGACTGAAAACAAGACGCGCCACCTTGTTCTACTGCAGTAAACCCGTCTCCACTCCTTTCTGCACTTAACAGTACACACAGACATCTTGATGGGGCATCAGTTTGCCCAGAATTAAATAGCCAACTACTTTTCACTGCAGTACAAACGAACTACAGTTATTGTTGCTGGCATGAAAAAAATCTGTTTGCCTGTTGACAGTTTTCTCGATTGAATTTTTTACAGGTATTTTGGGATCGGGGTTGTCTGCTAGGCTGATGTAAGAAAATGTTATGAGATGGCAAGTATATTCAGTTCTGCATTTTTTGCATTCTCCATCCATCCAATAAAGCACTACAATCAACTTAAAGGAAAATCCTTACTGGTGTTATAAATACCTGAGATACTACAGCTAAAATACAAAAGAAAGCATCCGTGTTGTCAGCTCGTTTGTTTTGTTCATGTGACAGATCTTTGTGGGGATTTTCAAAAAGCAAAAAACCCCAATGCTTGTAAAAACCACAGCAGTTGGCAGGAGGGCTCTAGGGTATATTTAAGATCTGAAACTAAATTGAGCTCTTTGTTTTAATGGACTAGATCAAAATCTGATGGCAATACTTTTATGTTGAAAACACTTTATGAACACTAATAAATCAATCAGTGAGTTGAAACAGGTAATTAATATTACTGTTCCATGGATTTTAATTGGAAATAAAGGTCAAGATACTTACATAAAACCAGATGGCGTTAAGTTGCTAATGTGGCATTAGAACTCAGCACTATGCTCTGGTCACGTTCTCAAATTCCAGTTTTATAAAGTTAGCTGGTGGAGTTAAGGTGGAAAACATCTCTTCTCCTCCAGCCCTCTTCACTGCATTACTCATTTAAAAATGAAGATGTGCGCTCCCTGCTCCCACGTCTGATTCTTCCTTAACACTGCACCAAAACAAAGCTGCTCTGGAAGAAGCCTGGAGTATTTCTACCACCTCATCTCTTTTTTTCCTTTTAAATAGAATTGACAAAATTGTCATTATTTGATAGAAGCAGGCAAGCATTTTTCATTTCTAGAGAAAAAAAACTTCTTCTGTCAACTCATTTACAAAGTCAGCCAGTCTAATCAAAAAGGCCATACGCTCTTTGGGCCTCACTCACTCAGTTTTCCGCTCCTGCATTCCCCAGTGCCAACCTCCTTTTCCTTTAGGATTCCTTCAGCACGCTTCAGCTGCTGCCAGTCTCCTTCTAATATAATGAAATATGGCAGGAAACAAAAGTGAAAAACATGGTTGCAAAACAGCTTTGCATGAAACCTTCTGCTTCCTGGTGATGAAGAGAAAGAAACTCCACAGGAATTGTTTAGAAGTTGAACGTAACACTACAAAAGCTAGAACAATCTAATGCTTAATTAAAGATATTGTGTTTGTTCCCCGTTGATATAAGTAAGACTCAGTAATGTTAGAGCAGTTCATATATTAAAAGGCTAATAAGCACACAGTATCTTCTGCCTGACTGTGCTTTCCAAGTGCTCTTCCTAGGCAGGATCTCTGCAAGTGTTGTCTGCACTTCCTCCACCAGCAGCAGCTGTTGTCTGAACAACAGCAGCAAGTACATGTTGTTAAGGTGATTTACATTCAACTCGGGGGTGGATCACTTCCTGGCTAAAGCTGATGAGGCATCTGCATCCACTAGAAGGAAATTTTTTGCACCAGTGAATATGCTTACACTCAGCTCCCATTATTATATCAAATATCATGAACAAAATATGCAAAAACTACAGTACTCTCATCCGTTTGTTTGACAGCCAATTAAAAGCCTGACAAATATTCAGTCCTTAGAAGCAAGACTAGCTGGCTACATAGAGGTGGCTTTTAAAATGCCACCACCTTTTTAAAATGCATGAACTCATTTTTAAAAATGCAAAAATCACTGAGCTTACTTTTCTGCCTTGGCCTGTGTAGTCAGAAGCAGAATCTACAGAAACTGTTAATCCCTCTAGCTACTTCTGAGCTGCCTATGAGAGCACAGTTTCTGGTTACCCCATGGAGAGAAGGAGTTGCAGGGGAGGAACAACTGGCAGGACAGCATTCTGATCTAGGAATTGGAGACATAGAGCAAGAACGGTGACATAAAATAAAGGCTGCTCTGCATTTTGTTTATCCTAAAAAAAGCCAGATAAAGCAGGACATGCATCCATGCCCCTGTCTTCAGAAAGCATGATGCTAATGATAGTCCAGCCAGATTTAGGACAGATGGCTGGCACTGTTGATAGGGCACATCTCAGCTCCCTAATTGCGAGTGGGCAGGAGATAGGGACAAACATAATGCTATGTTGCACTCACTGATACAGAAAGACCTTACTTTCCCCCTCTTTCCACTGTCAAACATATACTTGCTCTGCCTGCTGCTTCAGTTGGTGTTTTGCTCAGACAAGACTTCCTCAATTGTTGAAATGTTTAAGCTTTATTTCTCCATTCGCTTGTGCAGGTGAGAATACGGATCAGTTCATCCAAAGTTATCTTTATGCTGAACTGAGCCACATCCGTCTAAGAAAGCAGGAACTTTCTACGCAGATGAGAGGTGCAAATAAAACAGTCTTAGGGTCACATACTTGACCTACTCAATCTGTTAAATCCCAGGAGCATTTGACACCAGTATGGAATCTATTACAGCAAAAGAAGGCTTCTGAGGTGTCAGATGACAGTGACATTTAAAAGCAGAAGAAAAACCATTTGGAAGCTGCACCAGGCTAGAGTCTTCCTTGATCCAGATTTACACAGATCTGCTGTATGCCACAACTCTTTGATCCTACGGACTCTGGCTAACAAAGATGTTTAGAATCATCTTGAATTGTTAAGAAAGATGGTTGTAAAAGCAGCTCTTAACCGTCACTGCTTATCCTGTTTGCTTAGTTCACCTTCCGTTTAACATGGACGTGGAACATGTCCCGCACTCGTGCTGTGTGTAGGAAGTCCTCTTCAACTCTGGTTCTCGTTCACTGGGACATCGCTGCAGATCTTGGCTTGTAAACAGCAGAGAGGGATCTTTATTTGATGAAATGCGAGATAAATGCCATGAAAACATTTTTGCTGGCTTTAACTCTGATTAAACACAAGGTTTCGCAAGGCTTAAGCCAACCTGAGAGTCTCCTTGGGATTCCTTCTGGAGCTTAATTTTTTAACCACAAAAAAAAAATAAAATAAATAAAGCCAGGACATTGATGGTCAATGCCATTTGTCCAGTGTCTACAGAGAACTACAGCTGGGCTGCAGACCCTTCCGCCCAGCAGATACCCAGAGATAGATGGCGCAAGCTGCCTTGGGGTGAGGAGCGTGCTGCCCCAGCCAGTACCACCACATCGCTGCTGGATGGTGGTTTTCTCCTCTAAGCAAAAAGTCACCTGGAAAACTTCCTAGATCAGTTCAACTTGACTGAGGCGTTTACAGCTCATTTTCTTGGTGCAGTGTTACGACAGCCTCATTGGCTTTTATCTGCTACTTTGCTGCTGCATGATGTCTTCTTACAGTCTGAAAGAGCCCTTAAAATTCATGCTCTGGGAAGGTTTACAATCCCTTCCACGGACAGAGTTATTGCTGTACTGTTCAAAGTAAAAGTCCATTTTTATAGCTGATGTGTAATTTACCGTACAGTAAACAACTGGATGGACTCAGCAGAAGTCCCTGCAGCAGGTTGTTTCCTGGTGACAACCAGAGTGGCCTGGGCTCGGTCTGGGAGCACGAGTAGGCACTGTGGTGGGGGAGCCCATGCTGTGATCACACTTACATGACCTCAGTTGGCATCACAGCACTGGCTCAAGCGCTCTGTATAAAAATCAAAGGCTAACTTTGGTCCAGACTTCAGTGCTATGCTACCTTTGGTAGCATGGGTTCACCAGGTAGCTGCGTGGGCACCAGGACAAAGGTGAGCCAGGAAGATTTGGCAGGGGAGGTCAGGATCACCATTCAGACTGATATGACTCATAGCTTCTGTCACAAAATGGCACCTCAGCCTATTTCTGAACAGGGTAACTGCTATGAAACCATACTGAATAACTGGGCCCTGGAGATCTTTGGTCACAGACCATTTTAAATGCAAATAAGTGCTGTGAGGGAACAGTCATAGCTGATTCAGGAGCAGAGACCAAAAAAGAAAAATCCAGTGAAAGGAGAGGAAAAGACAAACTAGTGCCACGAAGAGCAGAACCAGGGAAGAAAAGGGAACAGAGCAGCGAACATAGGTTTTACGCACGGTCTAGACTCCCAGAAAGATCTAAATGTCTGTCCGAGACTTGAATCACAGCAGCAGCTGTCTTAAGGCAGAAGATGTCTGGCTCCAGGTCTAACTTCTAGTTTGAAAAGGGTCCCATATAGATAGAGACTACTGTATCAGATACTGGATTCATCAGTCTTTTTTGTAAGGGCACAAAATTACCTTAGATATGCATTTGTGCTACACAAACAGTATCCAGGGCCAGCAACACTCTCAGGTTGCTCCTGTGGGAAAAACTAAAGAAAAGTTTTGCATGCAAAATACCACTATCATTGAGACATTCACCTCTTGTATTTTGCTCTTAAATACAAAACACAATAAAGAAGTGTCTGCAATGTCCCTGGACACTAGTTTCAAATTGTTCCAAAGTCTCCATAAAGTTAAAGCAGTATGTTGAGGTAAAGGTCTTGGTAAGGCAAACATAAGCACCTGCAGCGGCTGAAGTATTCTGCCTGATCTGACACAGAACAAGCAGACCATAGGATGGGCACATGCCTTGGAGACGTCCCCAAGAGCATGCCTGAAAGGCCAAAACTGGGGACAGCATGCTGACAGTGCTCTGACCTCCTTGGCTAAGAACAGGCAGGGCTCAGTCCTGCAGCCCCACAACTGTTCCAGAGGAGGAATGCTCATCCAGAACTGTATGACAGGCGCATTTCCTGGCTCTGTCATGAGTTTCCCTAGAGAAACCATATATTTCCATCTGTAAGATGGAGATAAACCTCCCTCATTTTCCATGGTCACTGTAAAGACAAACCTAGAAATATAACAGAAGTGGAGTGTCTCCACAGCAACAGTGACAACATAAGTCTGAAGGCAGGGCTCACACACAGGTCCAGAGCAGAGGAAAACAAGTGTCATGAAAACACAATGCGGACAAGATCACAAGTTGTTAAGGTTTATAAAAGAACAAACCATCTTACTAGCCTGCGAGCCCTTCTGGGTCTTGGGTGTCATACCTGCAAAACACCCACCCTATTTGCTGAAAAGACAAAAGTCCAGCACAACTCTCTGCTGTCTGCATGATCCACAAGTTCACCTTGAGGGCATCCTTGATGCCCACAATGGTCCCTACACAATGATACATGGAAATTCAGCCACAGCACCCAGCTTTCTGGGGTGCACAACAAGAAGCCTAGAAGCCCTGAAAATTGGAGCCTCTTGGGTCCTTGACCTGCACTGGGAAATGCACTTGGCTTTGACCCATGGGATGTCCTATAGCAATAAGGAATCCTTTCCAGTAGCTCTGCAACAAGCTACATACAAGCAGCTGTTATGCTTCAATTAAGACTTTTCTTCATTTGAGAAAGAGACATCCCAATTAATTTGTTTCTGCCACTGCTCAATGTTTTCCTTAACTCATGAGAACCAGGACGATCTGACCAACAAGCCCAAGTGGGAATCAGGTTTGGCAGCTTGGTGTGAAAGTGGGATTTAAATCCAGAGTAAAGGCCTAATATATCTCCTTTTTACCTCCATGGCTTATTCTGTACGGACATGGTAGGGGGCTAGGGAGGTACAAAGGTACAACACAGCCACGAGAGAGAGGTAATGGCTAAGCACAGCTTGGGCCCAGACAAATCAGCTGGTTTCTTTACCTTCTGCTCCAATAGATACTAGTTTGACTCCTTTGCTGGCAATGAAATCCAAGGCCTTGTTCACGTTGGATATTTTGTGCACTCGCATTTTGCCTCTTTCAGGCTTAGCCAAACGTTCACCTAATAAGAAAAGAGAAAAAAAGTATTAGAAAACAATTCTGAACCCTTCCTTCCCTGGCAGGTGTTTCCCCATGCTGGTGGCTCCTGCTGCTCAGCCAGGCAGAGGGTAGACCTCCCTGCATCCTTTCTCAACAGTAAATGCAGGACAGCCTCGCTCACCATTAAGTACCCCCAGAAAGAATCAGACAGAAAGGTATCTTTCTGTGGCATCCCAGATAATTTAGTAATGGAGGAACTGTTGGCACTGAGTCCTTTCCACAGCAGTGGAAACAAACAGCAGGTTTGTGTCAGAGGTGAAAAGGACCTTTAAAACCACACCAAGCTAGGCAGCACCATTAACCACAGATAACAATGCCTGAAAATGGCACAGACTTCCCTCCCTCACGAAGACAGGTGAGAAGCTCCCCTCCAGCATTTACAACATCCAATATACAAAGCAACTCTCTCCTTCTTGGAACTCCCTATAGTCAAATATGACAGTGATCTTGTATCTTTTCTTTTCCCCAGCCAGGACATAGACCTCCTACTTCTTTAGTCTCTGAACTCAATGGCCACAACTGCTTGTATCAGGAAACAAAAATCACTTATTTGGCAAGTAGCTTTATAACAAAGAACTGTCATCTCAACTCCTTTCTATTACATGTTTGATGTATTTCTAACTCCTTGCAATGGTCTCTTACACAGTCGTATGCATTTTAAATGTTTATAACGAGGCAGAGAGAGGGAAGCGGTCTAACTCTGAGGTAAGAGCAGGTAAATCTCTAATAGAAATGATCTTAGGGCAAATGCCAGCTCCTGACTGGAACAAAGCTGGAAGATTTGGAAAAGCACTTTCTTAACTTTATTTATTTGAAAGAGTTGAATTAAGTGCAGTCATGGCCTTCTTGATAGGCTGCCCACAACTATGCTCACAGCCTACTTTTACTAACACTAACCCAACACAGCACAGTAAGCAAATTAAAGCTTGGACAGACAAGTGGACTTTTCAAAGAAACCTCTGCTAGAAATATAACTAGATGGGACATCAGGAACCACCTGTATGTGACACCACCAAAAAATGAGCAGAACAGCTGCTTTCAGACCAGAAAGCTCCAGAATACAAAAAAAATATCAAAATGCAAGCAGGTTTTGCTCTTTGAAAAAAAAACAGGTATGGAGTAATTAAGAAGAGATCAAATGGGCAAGTCTAGGCAAGTTGTTACTCACTTGACCTATTCAATTCCAAAAGTATCCTGCTATATCTTGAACCTAAATATTTAAATCTATGCAAGCTAACTCAAAACCTTTATTTGAGGCTTAAAAAGAAAAGTACTTTTTAAAGAAATCTTTTTCATACTAAAATGGAATGACTTGTTTCCTAACAAAGGTGTGAGGAAAAGCTAAAATGGAGAAAAATAGATTATCTCCATAGCCATGCCCTAAAAAGAAAGAAAGTCTAGACTTAAAAGTGTTTCAGTGATTACTGTAGGCTGGTATCATTAGCTCTCATTCTTAAGGATAAAACCAGATTCATTTTCAAAATGAAACACTGATGTCTGACAATTTAAGTAAAAAGATATTTTTATGATACTACCTCCATCCTAGGATTAAAAAAAAAAAAATAATCTTTTGCTGTAATGGAGCCTCGAGTACACGTTATGGTACGTTGCTTTCTTTTTCCATTTGGATAACTCTAGTCATTCTAAATAAAAGTGGAAGCATTTTTTGTGACAGTTTCACAATGACATTTTTACATGGAGTTTCACAATAGACTTAAGCAGACTTATGCTGCCAAACGTCAACAAATGGGTCGAGCCAGCTAAAAAATAACCATTTTCTTCAGCTGATGTGACTGTAAAACTAGCCTTGCAGAAAGAAAAATAAAGAGAAGAGATTAGGTTTCAGCTGGAACAGCAAGCCAATCCAATTCACCTTGTGGCTGCAAGATGTGCGCTGCCAACACAAGGAAGAGCATCTGAACTGCTCTCCCTGGGGCTGGGGAGAGCAGGATTGTTCCCTCTGACAGCAACGGGATTCTCAAGCAGTTGACAGTGATTGCAAAACTGCAGTCTCCCTCTCTTAAATAGCACAATAGGATATTTGTTTTAGAATAATTTTTTTTTGGAACTTAAAAAGTCCCCAAACCCAATGGCTACTTCCTTCAGATTTTCCCAGAGAAAAGCTTCATCTGGTTCCATGCCATACATTATTAATGATGTAGACCGTTAAAAGGGAAGCTTGCTAGAAATATGTTCTACTTTCAGCTATTTGCATCATTGCTTTATTTCTCAGGACTTCTCCCAGCTGAGACAACGAAAATGGTCTACTCGCTTCCATTCTCTGATTCTCATGAACTAGCCCAAGGCTGTACTTTAAAAGCCAAACAATGCAAGGAAGTCTTGGCATAGAAGTTGTTTACAGCAAATTTGTTTAGGAAAAATTTCAATTAGTCTTTTTTTTTTGGAGGCGGGGGAAGGGGGAAGCCTTATAACTTTATTTTAAAAGTAATAAACGTGAGCTTAGCCTTTTCCAGTCTCATAGTATTATTTTTAAAACGGCTTTGTCAGGGGAAGGAAATGCATGTGGTGAAAAATGAAAGTGTATCATTTTCAGCAATTTCTAGGGGATGGCCCAACTGCTACTACCCACCATGGAAGTCAATGGGAGAGGACTCACAATAAGGAAGTCCCAGGACCTCCCCCATTGCACAGTGGCTGCAGGATGGAGGGGCTCTGCCTGGGCTGGAAGTGGGCTGGAGGGTGCCCCGCCAGCAGCACAGCTCACCACCAGAAGGTACTGTGCTGAGGAAAACGGAGGCTCTCTCTTGCAGAACATCACTGCTTCCCATACTTTGGGAAGTTGCATTGGATGGGAAAACTGTTTCCTAGCTGCCTGGCAGAGACGTGTTCCCAAGGACAAATGTGAGAGTCTGCCCTGAAACAGGTCTCTCCCATTCCCAGCAGCATAGTCCCTCTCCCACCTTAGGGTCTCCAGCAGCTTCCCTGATGCAGGCTCCATCCTTCCTCCAACGGCAGCGCAGTAGCAGTGGGGGAAGAGGAAGATAGTGCTCCCTTTCTCCCACACACCCTGGCTGGGCGGCCAGGCAGAGGAGGTGCTTGGCTCCCCACGGTTCTTGGCCATCCTGGCCCAGCACTCTCATGGCTGAAGGTTCTTATGGTCATCACCCTCTGGGTTAGAGGAAAAGATCAACCTGCCACAGAGCAACCCTGCCCATGCCCGCCAAATTCCCGTCAGCAGCTCTGCAGTCCCCTCAAATACGGGAAGAGGAAGGTGTGGAGTGAGCCAAGAGCTGAAACGAAAGGCCAGAAGCTGGAACTGGAGTGCCAAGAGCGAACTGGAGACTCTTTTTTTTGGCAGGCATTCAGTGGGAATAGTGAAAGAACATACAGGCAAGCCCTTGCCAACCAGTGGGAGACTTTACTGCTACGCTGCTCCCAGGCTGGGCTGCTGCTTCCCAAACCATGGGCCAAAGAGATTACTAGCAGGGCCAGCAGCAGGAAGAAGGCTCTGTAAGAGCAGCGGGGCTCTCAACTGGAAATGGAACCTCCAATGATGGAAATGAAACGGGAAAAAAAACCTGGGCTAAACTTCTCCTCTTTTGCCACTGTACCTAGGAGAACTGAAGTTCAAGCTTCTGCTGGCTCTAAGGAAAGAATGCTCAGTCCTTGGTGTGTGAGGGACCATGGCCTCTGGTGGGTGGGATGCAGCCCACAGCTGCTCCCCATGCCTTTGCCTGCTGGTCATCCAGCAGCAGGCTACGGGCACAGAGCTGCTCCACAGAAGATGGAGAAATGCCATGCCCACACCACCAGTGCACTCAGAAGCTGTTAGCTTCTTCTCAAACTGAAGGCGTCCAACAGGCCCTACCACTGGGTTCCCAAAGGGACAACAGGAGAGGAAGAGGGGGAGATGAGGCAAGGAAATTAAGCACTGTCAGATATGAGATCCCCTGCTTTATCACTGAGCCTCATCTGCCCTTCCCTGTTCATGCTTCTCTCCTCTATCTTCCAGGTCAGTGATTAGAAACCAAGCCATCAAGACCCACCTGCCCCAGCTTTCAGGCTGCAGCCCCTCCCCTGCAAGGCAACATAAATACAGAAAAACTAATATGACTCTGCTACCTTGTTTCTTACAGGCCCTGCAGAAGCAAAGCATGTATTACAAAGCTCCAATAATATGTTGAACTCTGATCCCCCCCACACCACCAGCATGGGCAAAATCCCTGAGGTTTTATCCTGTACTCATAAATTCTGAAAAACACACATACTGACAGCGTTTTTGCAGGAGCTGGCCAAAGGGAAGGGAAGCAAAGGAAAGAAGGGGAAGGCAGTCTAAATGCTTCTATCGTGGCAATTTTATTGGAAACCTTGCCAAGAAGGTCAGGAGTGCAAGTCACTGAGTGGCCATTAATGGCTCAAAAGTCATCAAAAGAAAATCTATGAGCATACAATTCCAGTTTCCTACATACAGTCTTATCTCTCCTCGATGCCTCCCACAATACTTTGCTAAGGTATTTATTTCATCAGCACATCAACAGGGATTACTGCTTATATGAAATAATCCCTGGGACGTATCTGTCAAGTAGTGGGACGTTTGTGATAGAGAGTGAAACCAAATCTGACCTAACTTGTTCCTGTCACTGTTTTTATTTCAGAGTTTTCTGGGATTTTGCTTTTCTTTGGGATTTTTTTTTCCCCTGAAGGCTTGAGCATCAAGCTCAGTTTGAAACCAGAATGGAAAAACTTCAGTCACAGCTGAAACTGAACGACACGGAAGATTTACTGGTTTGACTCCTCTCTTCCAATAACTTCTATCCTATTCCCACTGTCATGTGGCTTTGGTATGATTTGCCAGTGCAGCATTCCCACACTCTTCCCAGAGCTGCTTTGTCAGCCCTGCCAAGTAGTAAGAGCCGTTGCCTGAGCCTTCACAGGAGGCTGTGCATTCCTGACGGGCAGAGGAAAGCCGAGAGGCAGGTGAATGCAATGGGCAGCCTGCACAGGCCATGAGGCTTGGATTACATTCCAAAAGCACGTTAATGGTCACTGCTGAAGACAAGATATTCGTTAGGGAGAAATTTTTTCTGAATCAGAAAGCAGCTGTTCTTATATTCCAGCAAAATCTGCAGCATTACAGCCCTTGCTGTCCCTACTCTGGGAGAAAGGGGGAGGACAGATTTCAGAATGGAGATGCTCAGGACACTTCAGAGCACCACACAGAACCTCTCTCACCTGAAATGACTTCCAGAAGTAACATGAGTTTAAGACCATCCCTGAAATCTTCCTCTATGTTCTCAATCTGTGTCCCAGCCTTGCGGAGGTGAGAATTACACCACGCTGTAAATGTCTAAAACACAGGAAAGAAAAAAAAAAAAAAAAAGCAGTCAGTAATCTTCCCAGAAGCCAAACAACAGTTCAGAAGCAAAGCAGTGCTGCTAGGTACCATGACACAGATTCAAATGCTGGTTAGCTTATCTTTCCACCCACTGTCCCTGTGGAACACAAGCATTAGTACCTAAATATCCAAAGAAGTTGCAGGGTGTTCCCATGACAGAGGGAGTCTCTGAAAGACAGTCCCTTCATGGCTCCAGCACGTCAGACTTTCCGGAGAGGCCCCTACATTTTGTGTTTGGTTTAGAATACCTTGAAACGGATTTTAAGACATGCTAAGTGCTCAGATTGCTAGGGACTCCAGCGGTGTTAGATGACACAATATAATATGAAGGACAACAGAAAACAGCATTCCAGATCTTCTCATCTCTAGACAGGTGCTTGAGGAAAAAAAAGGACTGTTGTTCTACAGCAAACTGTCTCTGGTTGACTTCATCCCCAGCAAACACTGCAGCAAGACAGACACTGAGGGACAGCATGCCAACATGGCAAGCTCCTCAGCCACATAAACCACATCCCAGTAGTGTCTGTCCTGCTGCCTCCGTTCTCACTGACTCGCTGCTAAGCAGACCTCCCTGCCCTGCCTGCCTATCTCACCTTCCCTCCCCCTTCATGTGGAGGACGAAATGCTTTCTGAGTAACGATGCTATCTCATGTCTCAGCAGAAATGCAGGTCCCAGAAAGAATGAAAGTAAGCATTACTTAGCGACACTACTATCTAACACAGTCCCAATCTCCCACCATTTGAGAGCCTCTGGCAGAAGGATTGTTGCAGCCACCTCAATGACAGAAATCACAGCCACTCTGTGATTTAGTGATACTATACACCACTACCAGAGTGATTATATGAGTATGAAGTGTGGGAGGGACTGAGGTCCAAACTATGACAAAGCCAGAGGCATTCAGGCTAAACAAAACTCTTTTTGGAAATGCCTTCTAACCTCACGTGGTCAGGATAAGAGGATCTCTCATATGAGAGAAATGAATCTCACCACAACTGATGACAAGACACATTTTCTGTGGTTGCAATCTGTCAGCCCATGTTCTGAACAATGGGCATGTGGGGCACTGCCAGGGAAAAGACCATCTCATCCAAGAGATGTGACAGTAGGGATTATCTCAGAAGAGCACTATGTGAATGGGTCTGAAAGAGAAAAGTGCTACCATGTAACAGTCAAAACACAAGAAGCAAATATAAACCACCTCCAACACCTCAGTGTGGCATAGTCTTAACTAGGTGAATCAAAAAGCCCAACCTGAAGATGCAGAAGCTGTTTGACAGAAGTACTGTTTGAAGAGTAAATGGTAGCAACCAGTTCTTCTAAGGTGGACAAGTTTGTCCAAGTGCTAATGAATGTGTTTCACAGTGTTTGAATAGGACACCAAGTAAACCTTTTCCTTTGTACAAACTGATAACCCCTCAATCACTCTTTAAATAGAAGGGTGAAGTTACTTAAAACATGAGCAGCTTCAAAAGCTCAGCGCTACCACAAGGAAAGGAGGTCTTTCTTCCCTCCCTCTCCCAGATGTGCTCCCAGAGCCAATTCAGCTCACTGACCCAGCAAAGAGCTGTTTACTTTCTCTGGTGAGGCTAGTCTTCTGCTCAGTTAGTGCACAGAGGCAGTTCAGCAGCATCTAACAAGCCTCTGCAAGAGAAAATTTGGCATACATGGGTCAAGCAGGAGGGTGGAGTGGACCACAGCAGTCATGCCATCTTAGGCTGTTGGGAAACCGCAGCAGAAAGGACTCAGCTGATAACGAAGCATGACATGTCAAAAATTTAGAAATGCTTTACCACTGTGTAAACCATGCCCAGGATTTCAAAAGAAAGATTACCCCAAATGGCAAAGAGAACCAGGGCTTGCTCTTATGTGTCTAGAAGTTGCGCTTCCTCTACTAACCTGCTCGCATTTGTGCTTACACGACTACAAAGGGTGCAGCAGACTTTCCTTGGAAAAAGCATTGCTCAACAGCTGCTGAGCTTCCCACTGCTGTGCTCTGGCCTTGCTCTCTGCCGGGGCTGTGTGATGAAGCAGGATAACAGTGCAGCTGTAAATGCTTTTATGGCAATGGCCCTTCGGACGGATGCAAGTATTGTGAAAGTCTGGGATCTTTTTTTCAAGATGGCCTGGTTTCCTTCCAGATTTGGAAGCTTTAGAAAAAGAGTAAGTCATTAAGCACCTTTTATTGCTTTTTATTGTTATTCCCCTGAGAAATAAAAGTGTGTGTGTGTTTTTTTTCCCAAATAAGAGCGCTTTTATTTGAAAATGGGCCCTGTATACTGAAGCACATCCTTTTGGCACTACTTTCTTTGTTCCGCTGTCTGTGCTCTATTATGTGACAAGAGGTTCATTTATTTGGCTCCCTTCTGCAGCCAGGCTCCTTCACTCCTCCAGAGGGGCAAATGAGAGCAGAGATGCTTTCAAATGCTACATCATCATCACATACCAAAGTATGACAGTAAGTTATGTGACGAAGGTTGTGGATGCTCATGAATCTCCTCATTTTTGGAAAGCAAACAAAGCAAGATACCTAGAGCTGGTGACCAGCCCTGGGCTGCATTACAAAATCCACACTGAATTGAGAAGGAAGCCCAAAGACTAACTCACAGGCCACCAGACTGCACTTTTATTTCTTGTATGACTTCTCTGATGCCACTTCAGTTTTGTTTTCCATCAGCTCAAAGCAGATCAGAAAGCATAGCTCAACTGGGCATGGCATCTCTGCACGTTTTGAGGACGGAAAAGGGTGACAGGGTCTGTACTGCTAAGACACACACATAAAGTTAAAAGCAAACCACAAATCTTCTAAACTTTACATTACTATAAAGCCTAGCAAGATAACCAGATCACTGAGAATATTTTTATTGCTATAAGAGTCACCTAGGACTCAGTGGAAAAGTAAGTCCCAGAGCCAGCACTCCAACTTCTCTACTGGAGCCATCTCCACCATGTCACGGCCTCAGACACGCTGAAATGAGATGACTGCAAAACGCTGCCATTAACCACCAGTGGCACAGCTGACACCTCAGCTCCTCAACAACATGGACCATGAAGGGTTAATAGACAGAGCACACACAGTTTCCACAAGACAGCTCCCACATGTGCAGATATTTTCTCAAGGCACCCTTCAGGTTCTACATGAACTCCAAAACACCACAAGCAGCACATAGAATATGGGAACAGCAACAATCAGCAGCCCAGCATGGATGCATCTGGCCATTTTACAAGAGAGCAAGATTATGAATGCTTGTAATGAGAGTGGGCATTTATTGCAATGGGATTCACAAACTATTCTGCATATGCTAACCCAGAGCAACGTCCATCAAAACATTAAGAATCAGAAAACAGCTTTATGTTACATTTGCTGAATATATATACAGTCATAAGGCACTTCGGCCACTGAGCACAGGAGTAAAATATCTTATTTCAAAGTAGTAAATTGGAAAGAGATTTGACAGATAGGAGAAGGCTGAAGAAAAGTGGCAGAAGAGCCTGGAGGAGCAAGAGAAGAAGGGAGAGCTGAAATTTTTGCTGTCTGCTGGGTCTTTGCAATCCTGGCAGTCTTGTTTGGAGCCATTTTTACTAACTTGGCTTCATGCATCTGCACAGGATCCTTTTTGTTATTCTGGGAAACCTTCTGAAACCACCCACTCGCCCCATTCACCTTCTGGGCAACACGGCTGCTCCTCCCCACGGCTTGAGTCACAGCTAGCAGTGGCAATCATCTCGGGGCAGCCGTTGAGCCCTGCTCTGCTGCCTGTCACCAGCAAACAAGCTTTCAAAAGTGGAAAGGGCTGCTGAGAGCAGCCAGCCATCCTTCTGGTGCAGGCCAGGCCCAGGCAGCAGCCAGACAGAAAAAAAAAACCCAAACATCTGTGTTTGCTGGGTGAGGTGAGGTGCAGCCCAGTTCGGAGGGCAGAAATGCACTGCCAGGTGGGAAGCACCATCTCCTTAGTTGTGAGCTCAAACCACTGCTCTGAGGCAGCAGATGTGCTTCCTTGCTGCCTGCAGATACAGATGCTTGGAGATTATTCCCCTGCTTACCTCTAACTCCCCGTCCCAAAGACCAGGAAACAAATACTCTGTTAATCTTGAGGCTTACGGAAATTTCACAGAGCTGGAAAACTACTTACTGTTAAATAATGGCACAAAAAAACATAGCATCAACTGTATTTTCTTCATACAAATCTCACACTATAAATTTTCTGTGGTAACTGCACAAGAGCTGCAAACAGAGCTGTTTCTTGGCCCTTGGATCTTTCCATACATCACACTCTTAATTTCATTTTCAGACACAACAGATGGCTGGAACCCACCCCCACAGGTCTGCCTTTTGTTCAGTGTCCACAATGGAGGATGCCCAACAAAGGAGTGCACGCGCATTTGCGTGTACACGCACGCGTTTCTCATCATTGCTCTCTGCATCCCCTGCTCCCATCCAGCTATGATTTGTAGCCTCCTTTTTTTACACCCCAGCTTCATCAGCAAGATCCCTGACACTGTGTTCAACTCTTGCTATTTGTGTGCTGGGTGCTGTACGAACAATGGGGCCTTCATATTCTACCACAATATAACCTGTCAGATAATAAAAAGAATAACAAATGTTACTAAACCCAAGCAAATACGATTAACTGTTCTGCTGCCTCAGCATATGAGGCAGGTTCACTGCTGGGGTAACCTCTACAACCCTACCTGCACACCTATTTTAACAGGCACACAACCCCTTTTTCTGGCATGACAAGAAAAGTCCCTGCTTCTTCAGACTTCACCATATTAACCATTGCCCAGGCACGAGTTAACTAAAAACAACAGCCAGGTGACTGCTGGAGGTCCTGCAGCCAAAGCTCTAATGAGATACCACCTTCAGCTAGATCCTTCCAGGTTATCTCCCAGTCCTGCCAACTACAAACATACCTTTGGTTCTCCCTGTATTACACGTGTGTGTGCA